TTATGTTAATTTTGATCTTGCACTTTTTTGAATTGTATATAGAAAGAAAATCTTTCTATGATGTTGAAAATTCGAAGTATGGGGTATTATTTATTTATTTTTTGCCGAAAATAGTATTGGGTATATTCCATGTAATAGGTATGGTGCATGTGTTTATATGTAAATTGAATGAAAAAAGAAAAGGAAATGGGGACTAAAAAATACATAAACGGAGGTAAGAAGATGGAAGAAGTCTCGTGAATGATTAGTTGAAGTGAGTGTGATGCCATGTCAATTTATACAACCAAAGGATGAGAATGAGATGGCTTTGAAAGATGCTTTTTTTATTTTTTTTTATTTTTGGAAAGGTTAAGCAATGTATAGATAGAAGAAAACTGTACATGGATGCTTTTAGCTGCGTACACGTAACGCTAATTTAATCAAAACCCCCAACCCACCATCGCACAAAAGATATTTTCTTCATGAGGGGAGCAAGATCAACTCTCAGCCGTTCGATCACGTGAGCCCCACTTCAAAACCCACATCATCTTCGAATCATGTGGTAATAATAATCTTAACTTTCAATTTCTTTTTTATTTTTTTAAAAAAGTAAATTTAAATCAAGAAAATACACCCTATTCACTTGTCCAGCATCACAAGGGCCATTGGAACATTGAAGAGGGATCCGTAAAATCACACTAAAAATGCTGGACCTTACAATGTTTGTGAAATCAGCATATTCCTAAATTTAGCAAACAATCATAGTTTTTTAAATAAATTTTTTTTTTTATTTTTTTTTTTATATGATAATAGTGATGTCAAGTCTCTTAAACACTCGTAATTTATTATGGTCATGAACAATTTTCAAATCCATAAGGTTGATCTAAAAAGATTCAAACTCAATTCCAAGTTCAAGATGTGAGCTGTCCCTCTCGAGTTAAATCCTCCAATAATTAAACACCAAATAGAGACTATTTGCCAAGTAACCATACCCAAATTTCCTAGAAAAATAAAAAAGATAAAAAATAAATAAATAAAAGAAGAATAATATGAATTTAAGAAGGCTTGAAATATTTGTAATGCATGTACTAATGTTTGGTTCTTTTTCTCAAAAAATATTTAATAATATTTTTTAAAAAATTTACTAGTAAAAAAATGCTTGCAAATAAGCCTTAATTAAGATCGAATCTCTCCCTACTCTAGTTTCAACTAAATGAAATTTTAAACTATGTTTTTTATTTATTATTATTTTTAAAAAAAAAAATTTTAACGAGAACAATAAACGTGGCATTCAAATATATATATTTGAACCAAACTGATCCATTAATTCATTGATCTCATTAGAATATAGTGAATAAAAGAAAAAGAAAAAGGCAATAGTATACATAAACGAGTCATCATGAATCTCCTAAAAGAGGAATACCCACGTTCAAACCTACAACTTCAACATGGACCAGAGACCTTGCCATAGTTCCATTTCAAGTTGCATTCCAAGGGTTCTAGACAAACTATTACTTTTGGTATTTTTTTTATTTACAATCTAAGCATACCCTTCTTCAGGAATGTTCTAGGCTCTCTGGTTTGGCCCATTATTTAAGAGCTCTCTTATGGTTTGGGCTTTTTCATTCATGGACTATTCTCTTTATGCGGTGGGCAAGCGAAAGATCCGCGTATAAGACTGAAGACCAAGTCTTTTTCAAGGAAATTTCTGAGACCAGCTGTGGTGGGAACATAAAATAGCACAAATGCAACTGTCAAAATCAAATTTAAGAAAAATCAGCCCCACTCTATCAACTTTCTTGTTTACAATTTTCTCTCAATGTTCGATTGAAACTGATGACGGCAAAGTGACAATGTATGGCTTCCGATTTTGACCTCTCAACTAATTTCCAGACTTCGATTTACATTTGCCCATTGTATATTTTTCCAACTCATTGAAAAATCTCCATTTGAGTCAAGTCCAGCTACCAATTACATTATCTGACGTAGCCAAATGCTTCAAGAAAGGATCATTTAGTTATACTTTACTGTGAATCCGAAAGCGATATAAAATAATGTTAGATGCTGGTCTACTTTTATCCTAGTAGATCTGGATAGTAACTTTCAATCTCTAGCTCAAAGTTCCGAGATAGAAGAAATGATAAACAAATAACATAAGATGAGGTTATTAAAAATAAATTTTAAAAAGTTAAACATGCAAAATGACTCGTAATAAAAAGAATGGGAGTGAAAGAATTTATGCGATTGACCAGACTCATATGAAATTAAAACAAATACGATGATGATATCATCTAAGAAAAAATTCGCATAAGCCAGTAAAACAACAAACTTTAGGCTCCATTCGTGAAGTGTTAGAAATTATATTAGTAGATATAAAGAGTCGAAACCTGGTCCATTCTAAAATTTCACCCAAGGCACTAGCTCACTGATCTATCGAAGCATCTGCAGTTCCATTTGGACTGTACCATTAGGTTATTGTCATTTTTGACAAGTAAACAAGATTTTGTGTGATTTGTTATGTATAATAAGGACAAGACTTGCCTATTTACTAGTGATTAGGTCATGTACTCATTGTTGATGTAGTCAAATCATAAATGTACACATAATCTGCAATTATAAAATCAAGAAAGTGATAAATAAAAAAATTAAAGAAGGTGACTAAATTTATTCCAAAAAAAAATTATTATCCTTATTTATCACTTTCCTAATTTTATACCTATAGATTATTTGTGCATTTATAATTAAACCACATTAACAGTGAGTAGAGATGACATACTCACCGATGAGTAGACAAGTTTTGTCCATATAATTATATAAATATTTAAAGAATCGTAAGGTAATAGTACAAATTAAATTCATCATGCTTTACTTATGTCACTGAAAAAAAAAAATCAAATTCAAATAATCATTGTTCAATGGGCAATTTAGTTTGCGAAATAAAACAGTTTTAATTGAGTTAAAGATTAACCGAATTTGACTATCACGTACCATATTTTTTAATATAAAACTTATTTTGCCTTTATAATATGCAACTATGACTATATTAAAGAATTTATGTGATTGACTACACTCATATGAAATTAAAACAAATATGATATCGTCTAAGAAAGAATAGCATAAGCCAGTAAAACAACAAACCTTAGTGAATTATTGACTCGAAATTTTACAATCAAACAATATTTCAATCTATTTTCCTTTTGTTTTTGGGCTCCGTGGTACGGACTGCACCACTATGACATTATGTTACCTTCATTTTCAAAAGGAAACGTACGATCATGTGTGATTTGTTATATATAATTATATAGATGTTTTAAGAGTCGTAGGGTAGTAGTAAAAATTAAATTCATCATGCTTTACGTATGACATTGAAAAAAAAAAGTCAAATTCAAATTATTATCAATGTTCAATGGGCAATTTAGTTTACCAAATAAAACAGTTTTAATTGAGGAAAAAATGAACCGAATTTGACTATCACAGATCATGATTTTTTTTTTTAATATAAGACTTCTTTTGCCTCTATATTATGTAACCATGACTATGTGAACTGTTAGCGATTGTCTATATGTATCATTCTCTTTGATCATTGAATTGTTTAGATCTCACATTAAAAGTCACACCATCCATTATTTGAAAAGCATTTGTCTTAAATCTCATTTGTTATTAAATCTTACATTAATTTTAACGAGTTGGGACGATGTCCTTCGTTTTTTCTTTTTTCAAGAACTGTATTATCAAGTTAATTTTAACTTTTGATAGTGTACACAACTACATCGATTTTTGTTGGTCATTTAGCCTTAACTCTTATTTAAAAATAAATGATTGCTAACGATAAAACTATCCTCTTCACTGACTCGGGATTAGAATTCTTATTTCAGAATGAAGAAGCATGAATGATAAAATTCATTTTAACGAGCATTTTCGATCAGTATCTTCTTCACTCAAAACCAAAATTATGTGACGGTGCATGTGCCCCTGTCATGTCCTGGCCTGGCCTGGCCTGTCCACTATAATATGTATAATATTTTGTAATTTTTATGTATTAATCTCTATTCCTAAAATTTTTAATTTCTAAAAATAATCTCTCAACCTTTCTTTCTTTTATTTTTAAATTTGCTTTGATTTTTTAAAAAACGTAATCAAATTCAAAGTTAGTTGTTTTTTTTTTTTTTCCTTTTACGCTACGCCCTTGAATTGAAATTCTGATTTCGTAATAATAATAGTTATATTAATAATTATATTGAAACAAATATTCTGTAATTATTTGTTTAATTGTTGTAGTGTTAGTTTGGAGTGAATTTTTTTAATCGAACACTCCATTACAATTATGGTAGTAAATTAGTAATAGGGAAAATTACATATAAATGGAGTTAAAGTTCCATATTTACTTAGAGGCTGAGTCAAAGTTCCATATTTCTCTAAAATGGATTGCTGAGGTGGCACATGGTTTTTTACTGTTTAGAAATTGTGATGCCTAAAATACCCTTCCGCGAAGGTACTACTTTTTCTTCGAAGGTACTACTTTTTTGAACTGAAGGTACTACTTTTTAGCGTCCAGGTACCATGTTTTTTAAACACTCGCGAAGGTACTACTTTTTCTCCGAAGGTACTACTTTTTTGAACTGAAGGTACTACTTTTTTGAACTGAAGGTACTACTTTTTTATTAGAGAAGGGCATTTTAGGCACCACAATTTTTTAAACAGTAAAAAATCATGTGCCACCTCAGCAATCCATTTTAGAGAAATATGAAACTTTGACTCAGTCTCTAAGTAAATATGAAACTTTGACTCCATTTATATGTAATTTTCCCTTAGTAATAAATACTCCTCCTTATGAGGTGACGTTGTTTTGGAAGATGGTGTTTTATCATCCTACTTGGGCTACAATTTTTTCTCTCTCTCCTTCCACACACAGAGACACACAGTTATCATCACGTGTCATCGCTTAGGTCTTCTTATCCGCGTGCCCATGTCATCGCTTAGGTGGACTCAGTATTATCAGTCTACGACTCCAACATTTCTCTAAACTTTCCTAAATCAATTCATTCTTTAAAGACGGCCTTCCCCCCTCTCCCTCCCTCCTTTAAAACACGCGTTACCCGCTCCATTTCCACCCAACTTTCTCTCTCTCACTCTCTCTCTCAACCAGCAAAGAACAACAAGAACACGTATACGCATATATATATATATATCATCATTTATATATAATAATGGGTCTTTGTTTTTCATCTACTGGAAGTGATTCAGATCGAGAGCAGTCCACTGCTAAAGTCGTATCACTCACCGGCGTTCTCCGAGAGTACGAAGTGCCGGTGACAGTCTCTCAAGTTCTCCAGACGGAGAATTCGTTGTCTTCCTCCTTCGTATGCAACTCCGACCGTCTGTATTACGAAGACTTCATCCCGGCATTAGCTCCCGCCGACGACCTTCAGGCCGGCCAGATCTACTTCGTCCTCCCAACATCCAAGCTTCAGTACCGCCTCTCCGCCTCCGACATGGCGGCGTTGGCCGTCAAGGCCAGCGTGGCGCTTCAAAAGAGCAAGGGCGGGTCTCACCGGCGGAACAAGAAGGCCCAGATTTCCCCAATTCTTGAAGTGAATCAGAGAGTTTCTTCTTATTCGGAGACCAAGGTTTACAGCGACGGGCTTGTGAAGAAGAAGAGCTTCGAGAAACGGGTGGCTTCTAGGGTTTCGAGGTCGGGATCGGTGAAGAGAATGCAGAGATATTCTAGGGCTAAGTTAATGGCGCGTTCTTTCAGGATGAGATTGAGCACCATTGATGAAGGCTCTGTTTTACAATTTTATAACTAATTAAGTTCATTTTGATCAGATTGTTTTCTGTTTTTGTAACATACTCTTCAATCTGTAAAAAAAAAAAAAAAAATCAGTGTAGATATGGATGGGAGATGTGTGAGTTTTTAGCCGCAGATTGATGTATGGAATATAAATTTTCCATTAATGTCAGATGGGTTTTGATTCCATGATCTGTTTGGACATTGGGTTAACCAATTTTTTTATAATTGTTTCGGCAAACTACTTTTCAAGATTGTTGAAAATTTTGTCAAAATTTTGTCTCTGCTTTCACTTGATGGGCTTTCTTTTCTGTTAATACAATAGAAAAGTAAAGAAAATTCAATTTAGTGTGATGATCGCAATGTGAAGTATTATTTTATTGAAAAAAGAAAGAAAAAAAAAAAGGTTCGTTAGAGGATGTGGTATCCGGCCCGGTTTTGACAAAAGGATGAATAAGATACCTTTTAAATGCAAAAGCTATAGTACAAAATTTCAACTTTTTATTATGGTGGGATTTTAATAATGCGTTGATAAGAGTGAATTTATAAATATATTTTTTAAGATAAAATAGTATTTTATAATTAGTGAATTTATGTGGCTAAAATGATAGTTTAAAAATGTTATAAAAAAATAATACATTTATTTTTAAAATGAAATATGTATTTTGAGATATTTTAAAATAAAAAGATGAACACAAATTTTAGGCCAGATACATATATATATATATATATGTGGGTGACAAAATGATAATATGTACTCTTACTTCACTTTTATTCACTTACATTCTACTTGTTTTTCTGTATTAAAGAAATGACATTATATTCTAAAAACTACATGCACAGAGAGTACACAATTTTTTAAAATCGTACAAATCAACTCTATTTTTCAAGACTATTATTTCATTTTAATAACTAAAAATTCAATTAGAACGTAGAAAGAGTAAATATCATCTTCCATTAAAGCATAAGCACGCAAACTTACGAATGGATTGGAGATAAGTCACATGGCCAAAGTCGGATTAGGACAAGTATGGAAGGAATAGCGAGAAAGAGTTAAAAAATCTGAAAATTTTAGTCAAATATTTGTCTCTAGAACTTTTGTACAATTCTATACTATTCTATATATATATAAAATATGTACATGTACTACATATATAACATGTACATGTTTATATATAACATGTACATGTTTAAAATAAGTTCAATATTTATACATATGTTAAAGGTGATTAGTTTGTGGAATAATAAAAAAATTAATTTTTGTTTTGCTAACAAAAAAAATATACCCACACGTTTACAATCTCTCATGAGTACTTAAATTTTTAACCATCTCTGTTAAAAGACATGAAAGTACCATTACTCTATACAACTTTTTAATAAATGTACCTGAGTTACAAATAAACATTACTTTGTGTATGTCAAAAGATACATAATATTATTAATAATTACTCTTTTTGACCCATATTAGTTGTTATCCACTTCAAAAATTTTCACTCATAACCACCTTTTTATCTTTCTTCTTTGTTTCGGACCGAGAGCAGAAGAGTTAATTAAATAAAAAACCCAAAGGAGGTTCATGGCCAAGGGTAAAGATGTCCAAGTAACGATAATTTTGGGATGTACCAGTTGTGTCCGAAACGGCTCTAATATTAATAAAGCATCAACGACCATTTTCAGATATATTGCTCAAAAGAATTGACACAATACTCCTAATCGATTAGAATTGCAAAAATTCTATCCCTATTATTACAAACATACGAGTCATTTAAAATTATTTTCAATTATATATTTTTTATATACCACCTTGGTTCCATATTAAGTATCTATTTCGAGAACTTTTAACAAACATGATTAACTTAGGAGCTTAACACGGGTTTCAGTTAATGGGTACAGAAAGCAATGTAGTTGAGGAACGCGTGTGTGTGGACTTCTCAGCAGGTCCAATTCACAACCGTGGGTGGGTGTTGTTGGGCTTCGGTTGCTTAAAAGGTCAAAATCGCACACCTTTTTTTATGTTCATTGATTGTTGGCTTCAATTGCAGAAAAGGTCAAGCATAACACCTCCACCTTTACAATTAGTGTTTCCATTGAATGATGATACTTGCATATTCATATATGAAGAGTTTGGGTTGTTAGTATATTAATAAGGCTTGGCAATAAATTTTGCAGTCACAACGTACCACGAGACTTAAACCGGCCAATATCAAGTCTTTCACGAATTATTCCACTCCATCCCTCGTGTTAGATGTTGTTTTTTCACGTTCACGTGAAAGGAAATAAACACTTGTTATCATGATCAGCTGTCATTTTAAGCCTCCGGATGACAGCATTGGACCAAGAAAAATATGCATGAGAGGACGGCCTTTTACAAACAAAAAAAAAAATTGTTGTGGAGGGCAATAGTGGAATTTTTTTATAATTTTAATAGGATTAAATTTAAACAAATAAAAACCGATGCGTAGTTAATATTAACCTAAACTCATAATTGTGGGCTTGTAGCATCATAATACACATAAATTTGAGCTTCTATGCATCTCCCTTTTACTAGAAGAATGCTAATGCTCCAGCGAACTTGAGTATTCATTGGATCTCTTTGTAATATTAAAGTTCTATTTGTTTCGATATAAAATATATTTTTTTAAAAGTATTTTTTATTTTTTAGATAAAATATTGTTTTAGTGTTAGACAAAGATTTACTATTAAGTCCATGCCGAAAATCGATAGATAAGTTATTATTGTTAAATTTTAATTAATATTTTAACGTAATTAAACACTAAAAAATAAAAATAAAAAATTTCTGAAAAATATTACTACGTCACAAGGCGGAACCTTCTAAAAATACATTTTAGTGCAACTTGTTGCGTGCATTTATGAGTGGCATGTGCCACTACTTTGCTGAAGACTTGTAGGATCAAATTTGAAATAGTGATTCTATTTCAAAGATGATGCTGTGTGTGTTCACTTTTGGGTTGACCTTATCTCATTAAATAAAATATTAAAAAAAAAAAAAAAATTCACTTGATTGACACGTCAATTAAAGGTATTGGTGCACCATAACCTATTTATTATTTTCTGTCAAATTTTGGCAAACTAATTAGTTTGAAAGTATTTGGTTCTTTTTATATGTGCATTGTGGACTTCAACCCACAAAAGTGTCCTTTCATTGCTGGAAAGAAGTAACACAGACATTCATAGCTCCCTAAATTGGACACAACCAATTAACATTGAGAAATTTCATCTGATACGATAATAGTGATCTACAGTAATTTAATCACTCACGTGAAATCAGATTATTGGACTTCTTACAGTAATTAATTAATCTAAACAGTTTTATTGTGAATCTGTGATAGTCCACATATGTCTGTTCTTTTTAATTGTTTGACACTGATAAAAAGTCTTTACGTCTGTGCATTTCTGTAATCTTGTATTAGGTTACGCGTTTTCCTTAACTACTCTTATATATGTGTATATATATATATAGTCCAACCTTGACCACAAATTTTACTATTTGCTTCAATTTAAATGTGCAATCCACCTTTTAAATAATGTAGTGTGAAAATTTATAATTCTCAAAATTACTTGACACGTACCACAATTCTTTCGTTTAACGTGTGATATTCGATCCTAATTCAATAAATTATGTAAAATTAATTAATAAGTTTATTGTGAATAAACTTGTTGTGAGTTTTGGTAGACTATGATGAAAAATATTTTACATCGAAATAATCGAGCCTAATGTTGTTTTTTCACTGAATCACAAGTTAGAACCTTCTAAAAGTAAATGTGATGAATTTTAGTGCAACTTGTTGCTTGTATATATGATTGGCATGTGCCACTAATTTGTTGAAGACTTGTAGGATCAAATTTGAAAGAGTGATTCTATTTCAACGGACTGAACTTAATTTAATCAGTCACGTGAAATCAGATGATGGTATGTGTGCTCAATTTGGGTATGTATGCTCAATTTGGGTCATCTTATCTCATTAAATAGAGGGTAAGTGCAAGACACATTTCTGAAATATAAGTTCCATAAAATTTTTATTTCTTATTTAAAAAGATGTGTAAAAAATATTTCTATTATTTTTAATTTGTACGAAAATACCCCCCTCAATTAATATAATAACCATCTCACTCTTTTACGCTTTTAAAAATACCTATACCAAACCTTACTCTCCACTCCAAAACTACAACCACCGCTCAAAGTAATCTCCACTATTATTAGGGACTAATGATTCTAATATTGTCCTTATGTACGTTTAGATTACAAAATTAACCTAGTAGTGGAATAAACAGTTTAAATTAGGGAAATGGGATCTTAAAGGCTGAGATTGCAATGAGATTTGGATAAAAAGGTAGGTACAATGGATCGAATGGTAAGAGACTCGTTTAGATATAAAACTGACGGCTTGGATTTTATGGAAATGCAGAAGTTATCATGTTAGATCGGGTTTGGGTGTAGAAGCAACTGACCTTGCTGCCATTTATGAGTTGTTGGAGCTCTGCAACTGCTCTGTTTCGCATTCCTGTTTAAAGATAGTTCGTGAGATTGAAGCATTCTATTCGCGCTGTTGAGGACATTGAGGAATCAATCCTCTGATTGAGGAGGCCGACTCGGGTTTCAACAGGAACAGAAAGAGACGGAGGCGAAACAACTTTTGGGCGGCAGCGATCGGGATTGGCCGCTGAGAAAGGGTTTTGGAGAGGCTGAAGGTTGGAAATTTACTATTGGGTCTCTGATGGAGGAACGGTTGGTGGCGATGCGCCGGAGATGATGGAGCAATGAAATTGCGACTGATCAGCGAGAATGATCGTCGGGCGCATGGCAAAGTGTTGGAGTGTGTTGACAAGCGATCTGGATGAAGAGGACGAGAGCAACGGAGTGCTCTGTACAGTGCGTGCTTGCCTTTATTTGCCGTCACTTGGGAACAAAGCTCTGAACCGAAAGTGCTTTGTACGTGGATGACCATGAAGCTTTGCCGATGGGTCTTGATGCGCCGGTGATGAACTGGGTCTCGAAGCTCTAAACTTGAGTGACAATAGAGCTCTGAACCGTGGTGTATACGGCGATCTTGTTGATGTCGAGGTCGTGGAGGGAGAGGTGGAGGTTGTGGACAGCCGGGAATAGGCTGCCGGAGAGGTTTGTGTTCACAAGGTGGATGTCTTTTGGAGCTTGTGGTGGGGAAGAAC